AGAGTTTCCTTTAAAATTCTCAGATCTTCAGCTCTCCCACCGATGTCATCTAGAAGCAGAAATGAGGAACGACCCAGCCTCACCTGCTGGTGGGGACGCTGACCTACTCAGGATGCAGCTGAGGTTGTGACATCACATCAGCACCTTGGAAATTGTCCATTGTAGACAATCCTTAATTATTTCTCATCATTACACAAGAATAAAAGAGGGAGAACAAACCACGAAGAGGTGAAAGCAGAGTCTGTTAGGATTCCCAGAGTTCTCATCAGAAGCAGCATCTGGGCGTGGACCAGATGAGGACCTGCATCAAGCCTGGGCATCAGGGGCTGTAAGAAACCAGCCTACGGAACCAGGTGCCAGGTGCACCAGGCTCACAACCCACATCAGCTCCAGATCAGAGACTGCTGAAACCTGAAGGGAACCATGGAGCAACTGGCTAATGCTCTGATTTTGTAGATGAGGAAGCTGAGGCCCAGAAAAGTGAGGAATCTTGCTCAAGGTCACAGTTTCTAGCAAAACTGTCTATAACAGCCTTTAATTCCCCGTAGCCAGTTGTCCCCATTCAGGCCATTGGCTAATGGGGTGGATGCTTATCTCTGGAATTCCCAGGCCTCATTTCTGTTCACCAAGCTGTCTGGATCCCAGACCCAGGGGCCCTCCCTTGCATACTTGGGAAGCCCAAGGCCCTGTCCTTACTGGCTAAGTTTCCAGCCAGAGCCTTGGAAGATTTTTCCAAAGCAGTAACATTCATGCTTCTCAAGCCAGTCTAGACCCCTGAGAGAATGCAAGTTTCTCTCACTGATGTGGCTTCCCTCACAGGCACAGCCATGCTGGGCCCACAAAAGCCCGAGCTCAGGGTTGGGGAGGAGGGGAGTTGCTTTGCTACATGGAAAGATTAAGCCCTTTGTCAGAGAACAAGGTCCCCCTGTCGGGCATGCCAGCATCGGAGCCGCATTTGTGCAGCTCAGCCGGCAGGGCTGGTGTGCAAGGAGGCCGAGTTGCTCTCTTTGGCATCACTGACATTGCTCTGAGATGCTCAGGCACTCTTTCAGAACAACCCTTTCCCAGCCAGGCCGGCCCAATCCAGCCCCCATCAGGCACCACCTGACTGTGCAGGGCTCCCCTGCTCTTCCATCATGATTATTTTTGTTTTGCCCCAATCTCTTCTGACCTGAGTGAAAAGCAGACTTGAGGGAGAAGGCAGGGGACAGTCTACATTTTCATCTCCTCCCTGATCCTTCAGTGAAAGACAATCCAGGAGAGGAAGCAGCATTTTAAAGAATTTTTTTTACATGTCAGGATATTGGAGAAGAAAACTCTGAGGAGAGGAAGAGGAAGGCAGGAGGCGGCAGGGAAGCGGGCCTCTTCTTTCCCATCTCCCCGCAGCCACTGCAGAGATTCCGCCGGACAACCTTCCGGCCCTGAACGATGCGCCCTCACTCTCCACCCAGGTGGAGGGCAACTCATCTACAACACCAAGCAAAGGCAGCAATTTCTTGCAGAGTTTGCACAGTGCTAGAAGCAATCAGAGAAACACAGAAGAGCAGCCTTACTAAAGCCCTGCTGCTTTCTGGGCCAAGGAAGATGGGGAATATGAGGTATTAGGAGCTCTGGAACCCCAGGGGAAGAGGAGCTCAGTATCTCCTGGGTAGCAGGGCATGGAGCAAGGCCCCTGGTTGCATGTCAGGGCTCCTGGTAACAAAGTCTAAGATTGTGCTACATTTTATTTCCAGAGAAGTACCCTTGGAGGTCTCTATTGTCTTTAAAAATGGAGGCTTCTGCTGTCCTCAAGGCTGGCAGTAAAGAAGGGATCAGGCATGCACCCCTAGTGGGTGTCATGCCCCTGGGACAACTGGCTTGACCTCAGTGTTCTGACTGGCAGTGATTCCATGAGAGATGAGCAACACAGATGCCCTCGCTCTGGAGCGCCTAGATTCTGCCCACCCCCATGAATGCTGGCATTGCCTGGGACTTGCTGGATCCCAAGCCTCCTAAGTGCCCTTTTCCTAGTAGAACTGGGTGGTAGAAGAGACTGGATGGGGAGTAGCTTTGGAGATGGTTCTTCTCTGAAGAATCAAATCCCCCTTGTCAAACCAAGACTTGGCCCCATTTATTGGAACCTCCTTCACACCAAAGGAAGGAATCTATAAAGAAAGTGGGACAGACTGAACAGAGCAGAAATGTGAAGACAGATGCTCTGAATCATCCATTGCTGTCCCTGCCCACAGCCCAGCATCACTGCAGGGCCACTCCTGTCTCTGCCACATCCAAGGCAAATCCTGCCTGACCAGAGGAGATGGAATGACAAAGAGCCCCATCCTGTAACCACCACAGGGCTTCATCTGCAGTGAGGGGACATTTGGAGCCAGGACACTGAACCTGGCAGTGAGTTGGCCCCAGGGTAGGGAGAGTTCTGGAGGGATCATGTTCCTCCCTTCCCCACCTCATCAAAGGCCAGGAGTCACACTGTGCACCCTACTCTCTGGGACAGGCTAGCTCCAGAGTGGCTTCTCTGACAAGCCCCTGCATTGAGGTTGCTGAGGAACAGACCCTTAAATCCAGCCACTCCCCATCACATGTACACATCAGCCTCATACAAATTTACCCTCATGAGGAAAGCCCAGGTGGAGATTAGTAACTTATTTGGTGCAAAGGATTAAAAAGAATAATTCCCCAACATCAGCTTAGAAGGGATTACCTCCTGCTAGAGAGGTGGAACAGTGGAGCAGCCCAACTCCTGAGCAGTTCTGACAGCCAGGGATTGTAGGCAGCTCAGCCCAAGTTACCAACACATCGGGCCCCTCCTCTGGCTAGAACTTCCCCTGCAGTAACCCTCCCCCAGAGGCAAGTGGCACCGTGGTCTGGAGCTACCCAGTGACAGCCTCTCTGCTAGCAGCTCCCTCCTTTCTCCTACTCCCTTTCTGGACCCCTAGAGGAAAGAGGGTGTTGATAGCCCCGTTTCCTGGGGGTGACTGCATGCTCTGGGACCACCACTCAGCGCTCCATCAGCAAATGTCCATGATATCCAGTGGATCACGAACAGTCCCACCACCCCAAAGGTGGAAGGTATATTCACACCATCCTGAGAGTGACTGTTCTAGAGGTGAATACATCACAAACAGGAGATACAAATACCCTTTTGCAAGCAAGTTTCCTCCCTGTTCCCCCACTAGCGTCAAAAAGTGCAGAGCCCTTTGCCCCACTTTTGGGAAAGTGAGAGAGGCATGTATTACCCAGTCCAAGCACTGGGACTGGGCAGAGCATTTCTGCCTAAAGAGAAAACTCAACCCAGCTGCCTCTTCACCATCCCCCATGCATACAATGCTTCTCTTCTCTCATAATAGAAGAACTGAGGCTCAGGCGGGAGACAGGTGCCCAGGAGCTTCTTTTGTTCATTTCCTTCCAGGCCTTATGCACTTTTCATCTGCAGGCAGAACCAATGAGGTCCTGGCTTCCTCCCCTAGTTTTCTTGGGAGGGATGTTACAGGACTCTGGCTTCAGCCCATTGCAGATCCTTGCCAGGAGGAAAAAAAACAAAAGCAAAAAAGAGGCCCTTTGGACTCAGATGGGCCTGTCTTCATGGAGCTGCCACCTCCATGCCCCTCCAGCTTTGGTTATAAATGAAGTCCAAGCACTCAGGCCCCAAGACCTCTCTGCTGCTACCCAGGGTAGCTCTCCCTGCCTCAGGTACTTGGGTCAATGTCTGGGGAAGAGGTAGAAAGAGATCCTTCCCCGTTCCTTCACCCCTCCTGCTCTTTCCTCTCGACCAGACATGAACCCAAGGGCTGCTTGGTCCATCTCCTGGGCAACCTCTCACCTTACACCCTAGAGCTGAGGAGGGAAAGGGAGTGATTTGGGCATTCCTAAGCCAGACTTCAGGATTCCCAGCAGACATCTCATGGGATCCAGTCTAGGCACTGGTCCCCACCAATAGGGCCCAGCTGTCAGCTCAAGTCAGGGTTTGAGTGGCTATGAGAAGCTCCAACCAGACAAGGGTAGAAGAGGAAGAAGAGGCAAGAGAGGTGCCTAGAGCTGGCCGCTTTCCAGAGGGCAGCAGTGGAGCTCAAGAAGGTAGGGAGGCTGCGAGGGGTAAGTATTGCTTGTGCAGAGCTGGTGACTGTGGCAGACTCGAGCCCAGAGCCGGGCTGCTCATGGAGCCAGGAGGCTGGAGCCCAACTGAGTCTGAGCTCCCAGACAGGGATCCTGGTCTAGGAATGGGCAAAAAATAGAGCCCCAAGTGAACAACTTCATGCAGCTGATCCCCAAACGTCAGATAGACTTCTCAGCAGTGGCTCAGAACAAGTCAGCCTGGGCCCTCATTCCAGCAAACAGCCCTTCCTGCAGCACCTCCTTACCGGGGCATGCCCGATCAGGGATGAGCCAGGAGGGGGACAGGGCCACCTTCACGGCCTGGGGAGGACTGACTGCTTTGGCAGATGACATCCCCTCCAAGGCCGAACCCCTCAGCCTGCTGGGAAAGCTCCTTTGGCATGTCAGAGGTGAGGAGGCTGCAAGAGATGGTGGAGGGGTGAACAAAAAACTAGGGGTGAACAAAAAACTCTGGCACTTCCCGCTAAGGTGTCCGGCCAGAGTCCCTGGGAACTAAGACCACTTTGTGCTCTGCTCGGAGCCCTAGTGAGAAAGCCACCTCAAAGCCCTCAGCTCCCCGGGGACATATGCCTCCACTGGGGCCCTGGCCAGATGAGCATGCTACATGCTGCAGGATGCGTGGAGGAAGGGTCAGGTGGGGGTCCCAGAGGGGCCTTGGTGTGGCCAGCTACAGTGGATGCTACGTTCCCCCAAAAAGAGCAGCAGTGCTGGCAGAGGCGAAGGTGGAACAAAAGACAAAACAGAAAACTAAGCAGAGACCACCAAGAGGAGGCAAAGGTGGGGACACAGAGGCTCTGCCCTGGGCACAGGACTAGACTGACCAACCAGTGGCTGCACCCCCCACTTCCACCCCTGGAGACTCCTCGGGGTGAGTCGTGTCCACACAACACTCCTTTGGGTTTCTTTTCAACAAGATACAAAGAGACATGGATTTCAGCCCATGTAGTCACCAGGACTGACTATACCCAGACGAATGAACAGCTATAACGTGGTCACACACACACACACATACACACACACACACACACACACACTACAGTCTCCACTGCCAGCTGGGGCGAGCCCAGTAGCCAACAGGCATGCAGCAGGGCAAGGGGTCCAGAAAGACATGAAGACTATGTACAGGGGAGGGGCAGGCACCCTTCCCACACTGCCATCCCGCCTTTCTTCCTGACGTCCTTAGGAGCACGAGGGGCTGGTGGCACTCTCCAGGGAGGACTGAGACAGGCGCCTGGTGAGGGATCCAAGAGTGGAATCTGCCACTGAGGAGGTGGGGAAGAGTTTGTACCAGCCGGTGACCGCGGCACTCAGGTCCAGCTCGTCCAGCATGATCTGGGCCATGCCCATGAAGCACTTGTGGTCCATGCGGCCATAGTCACCCCAGACGATCACCTGGCAACAGGGGAGGAAGAGTGTGAGGAACTGAGCTGCTGCCCCAACTCCAGGACTGGGCTGTGGGCCCAGGAACCTTCAAGTTTTTTGCTGGGCCACAGATGGGACACAGAGAGGCAGAACTCAGACCGATTTTGGGCACCAACTTCCTGAGCAGTTCACAGTGCTATGCTCAATCCTATGGGCTTTACATGCATGACTTCCATTGTTATAACATGCCATACAGGTAGGGGTGCTGTGTGTTATTATTTCCACTAAGGGGAAACTGCAGCTCAGAAAGGTTAATTAATTAACCCAAAGATACACAGCAATTTGTGGCAGAGCTGGGATTAGAACCTTGGCGTGTCTGACTCCAGAGCTTCCCAGCATTTGGAGGACAGCTCTCCCCAGGAAGGAGCAGACTGAGAGTCAAGAACCTAGGTTGCGGCTCCAGATCTACTGCTGACTCATGTGGGGCTCGTGTAAGCCCCTTGCCCTCACTGGACCCCAGTGTTTCCATCCATAATGCTGGGACAGGGGAATAGATTGGTCAGTGATTTTCAAACTTTTTAGTGGTGAATACTTTTTTAAACAGACACTCAAGATCATGGTCCCTTCCTCCCCTAAACCCTAGGATGCTATAGTTCAAGTTTGCAACTCCAAGGGCCCTTGCCACAGAACCACCTCAGTCCAGAGGAATAGTCCTGGATGAGAAGCCAGATAGCCCAGATGGCCCATGGCTCTAGCCTCTCCTCTGCCACCTACATGGCCTTGGGCAAGACCAAGAGCCACCACCGCCACTGTTAATACTTAGCGAGTAACTGTCCACATGCCAGGCACTATGCTAGGCTCTCTACACGCAACCTCACTTTTCGCCTGCTCACATCTCATCCACAGCTAGTGAGTGTAGAGCTGGACTCTGAACCCAGGACTGAGCCCAGAGACCGATCCACCACTGTGCTATATCCCCACATAACCTCAGGTTCTTCATCTATGAAATGGGCATGATGATCTCTCCCTCCCAGGGCTATTGTGAAAGGCTAACCCCACAAAATGTGTGGAAGGGCTTTGTCACTCTCAAGTAGTTAGGATGAGAGTCACCCAGACCCGGGCTCAACTCGGCTCTGCTGGTCACTAGCTGAAACCTCAGGCAAATCACTTCATCTTTCTGAGACTGTTTCCTCATTTGCAAAGTGGGGAGAATCATACCTACTTCAAAAGATCATCTTGAGGATGAAACGAGATCATATTTGGAAAGCACCTCACAAAGCCTGGCACTGAGCTGATGTGTGACAAACACTTGCTCTAGGGAGGGAGGAGGCAGCAATAGGACTTCAAAAGATCATCTTGAGGATGAAACGAGATCATATTTGGAAAGCACCTCACAAAGCCTAGCACTGAGCTGATGTGTGACAAACACTTGCTCTAGGGAGGGAGGAGGCAGCAATAGGCAAATGCTGCTTCCACCTCCCAGCTGTGCGACCTTGGAAGCACCTCTGTTATCCCCATGAACCTTGGTTCTTTATGAATCAACTGGGGGCAATGACACCTCACTGGGTTGTGAAAATAAATGGTAATGTGAATTAATGTACCTGGTACAGTGCTCAGCACAGAATAAATCATAGATGAGAACCTTCCAAATGACAATTTCTAATCTTTGAGAGTCTGCCCTGCCCCACTCACCCTGCAACACTCACCTGCAGCACCTTGCCCTGGGGCCCCTCATCAAAGAGCAGAGCTTGCTGGTACAGGGGATCACAGGTTTTCTTGGCCAACTTCGTCTTCTTCTTGGCCAAGCAGGCCCCGTTCTCAAGCAGGTAAACCTTGATATAGGTGGCTGAGGAGTGAGAAGTATGATGGGGAGGGGACCAGGAGAGACTGCTATGGCCTGCCCCATCCCTCACTGCCAGGTGACCCTGGAGGTGAGCAGGGTGAATGGACGAGCTGACAGTGGACAGCAGGTGGAAGAGGCCAACACAAACACTGACTCCTCCATTATCTCCTACCCCCTCCCTGTTCACTGGCCTCCCAGGCAGTGAGACTCCACTGTCAAGATTGAGGCTAATGGGGAGCTGAGGACTTACTAGACCCGGAGTTCAGCTGTATACCCCTCCCTGCCAGTGCCCCATCTCCAAAATCCCTCTCCCAGCTGCTCAGCCTCACCTGGGAGGGATTTGGAGCCTGGTTTGGGGGTCAGGCCCCGAGCTTCGATCACTTCCACCTCCAGCTGGCCACTGCGGTCCATGATGGCAATGTGGACGTCTCCTGCAAGGGAGAAGAGGGAGGGTCCAGGCGGGGCCAGACCAAGGGGCAGGCCAGCCAGCAGCAGCACAGAATGCCAGTCTGCAGAGGATGCCACACCACTGGGAAGGGATCACCACAGGGAGCAAATGACAGGTGCCAGAGCTGTTCTCGGGAGATCACTTTAAAGTGGCTGAGAAATACTTTGATAGGTTCCGTGAGGTGGGGTTGAGGTGGGGCAGGGGCATGACCCTCCAGGACATGCTTGGGAAACAACGAATGGCTGCCAAACTCCTATCTAAGTCTGGCTAACTGGGAAGCTTCTGGTTTACTGAGCAGAAGAGGCAAGTTTGGGGACAGAGCTTCCTGTGTGAGGAGGACAGAGGGAAGGCTGTGAGCTGAGCGGCTCCTCCTCACCTTCCCCGACACAGCAGCCCTGGGCCACTCCCCTACATATATGTCAACAAACAGTGAAAGAAGATCCGTTTGAAGAGATGCAGAGCTATGAGCCTGCCCAGAACAAAAGGCTCTACCTGGGAATGCCTGCCTGTCTTCTTGCCAAAGGAGGGAGAGAAGGCCAGCAGACTTCCTGGACACAGAGAACTGAGAACTCACTGTGCTCCTGCAAAATGGATTCTCCAGCGGAAGCAAGTTCTGTGTGTGGAGTCGTATGTTATCTGATTTCTAGGAACACTTAGCTTTGTTCAACGTGGGTTAGCAGAATTTGGAATTGTGCCGTAGTAGTCACTTGGAACACTCTTCAAAGGGGTGCAGAATCATAAGCCTGATCCAGAAAAATTAAATGGGCCAGACTGTGGGTTCGGCCACCATGCAATTGTTTGTATTTGCATACTGGGAGAGATGGGAATTTACTACTTTCAGGAGACATCCTGGAATTTATCCTCCCAGCAATTCCTGTTCTCCTTATGGGGGAGGGAGAGGGCGAGGGTCTTGGGAATTATCTCCTCCAAGTCTCACTACAACATCCATAACAAAGTGAGGAAACGCAAGCCCGTCCTTCCCAGGTTTGGGCACCAGGGGGCACCACACACAAGGTCCTAGGCTGTGATGGCGCATTAGCCTTGCGGAATTGGCTGGCTCCTCTCAATTGCCTCCCAGCCCGTGGCTGGGTCTAGGGCGGGGAAAGCAGACTCCCCAGGCCCTTAAAAGCCTGAAGGCAAGGACTGAGAATTAACCAAATCCAACCCGAGAGCCAGATGAGAGCTGACCCTCACCCTCTGAGGGTCCCTGTGAACCTCTCTTCCAGCAGATATGGGTACTTTGGAGGAAGACAGGGCAGTACAGTGGAAAGAGGCTGTCTGCAGTGGAATCCCAGCTCAACAGCATGACTTGCAGCAGGGCACCATCTGCACTTGGCTTCCCCCTTTGCTGTGAGGGTCAAAGGTTGAGCACTGTTCAAAGGAGGGCTGAGTGGGGACATCTGGGTCAGACACTGCTCAGGTCAGATGGATGGGGAAGGGGGCGGAGGTAAGGAGGCACCTCTGGGGAAGAGCTGCTTGATGCCAAAACAGCCAGTATCTAAAGGAAGGAGGGAAGGTCAGTCTGAGAGCTTAGAAAATGAGCCAGACTACAGCTAAGAGGACCAAGTGCAGACTTCAGGAGATACTTCCTAGCTGCAAGGAAGGGGGATGAGAAAATTACTAAAAGACTTCTAGGTGCCAAGCACTGTTCGGAGTAATAAGTCAAATAAGCCGCAGCTCCTAGGAGTAAAGTAAACTGAAATACTTCATGCAATGCATCTAACAGGAGCTCAAAAAAATGTTCTTAGATTGCAGAACTAAAGTGGGTATGTTATTCCCATTTTACAGGTGAGGAGACTGAGGCTCAAAGTAGATAAGTGACTGGCCCAAGGTCACACAGGGAATTGATGATAGAATAAACTCCACCACAGCCAACGCTATTTTTGTTCACCATCCTGTGCCCAGCCAGTAAGTGGCAGGAGAGGGTGACTGTGTGGTGAAGGGAGGGAGGGGAGCAGAGAAAGGCTGGGACCCCTTTCCTGTCTGATGAGGAAGGGACTGGCGAGTGCTCCACTCACTCCTCACTGGCACAGCAGCCCGAGCAAGGATTCCTTTCTGCTGCCTGCACCGCATCACACAGGGCCCCCAACTGAGCTCAACCTTCCTGCTGCGTGGCCTCCATGACCCCATTTGCCCTGCCCTCAAGAAGACTCACCCATGGGTGGCGTTGCCAGCGTCTGTCGCCCCACAATCTGGGCTGGTCCCAGTCCATCCAGGAAATCACTGAACTGGCTTTCGGCCCCAAGCCGGGTGGTGGGAAAGATGAACCTGCACGAGGAGGCAGAGAGGGTGTTGGGGCAGCCTGGGGCAGGGGTGGGGGTGGCAGGCTGCAGTGGCACTGCCCCTGGGGCACTGGCACTCCCCTCTGTGCCTCAATCTCTCCTCTACACAGTGTGAGTGCTGGGGACAAACAGAACTGTTCATTTCTGCACATTGAAGAAAAATCCTTTGATGTCACCAGAGAAAAGAAGTTAATAAAAATAACATAATGATGGTATTTAATCCTCAAGCCCCAGGGATTTCTGAAGTGACCCTTAAAAGGCAGGGTTTGCTGGAAACCTGTGTCCTCACCAAGGGATGTCAATGCCAAGAACCAGAGATATAGGCCAGACATTTCAATGCCTGGAGCAAGTTCCAAGAACTGAGGTTTGAATTGACCATAAGTTTGAAATCCAAGTCAATAACGTAAGGTGGTGCCCAAAACAGCAACTGAGACCGAAATGACACAATTACAGAGTTGAGATGAATGGCAAGTTGGCGGGTGGGGTGGGGGGGGGACATGAT